AATGAGGGTTACTAGTATCTTATGTTTAGGTCAGTGATGTGGTGTTTTAAATACTATTAATGTTGACAGTCTTGACATGCATACAATGTGGTTTTGATTCTAATTAAGAAGAAAAGATTCTTCACCTGACCTGTTTTACGTTAACATGGGGAGGATTCTATCTTAAACTCTATTTATATACAGAAGAAATAACTGTTTTTATTAAGATTGAGGAAAATTAGAACACTGATTCTGATCCTTGTATATATCCGAAATCCTTTCAGTTGAAAATTAATAACATCCAATCACTTTAGTATATAACATTGTAGCCTAAGGGTTTTGACACTTGGAGTGTTATTTTTCAGAAGTGTCAGTATTGGATAAATTCTTGTTGATTGGAGATGTAGTGACTGTGATCCCAACAGAGCTGACAACTTTTAGGAATCTTTTTGAGTGAGACTTTTTTTTTCTTAATGGTGCAATGTGAATTTTCAAAATGGTGATCTTGGAATTGACCTGGATCTGGTCAATCGATCAAGGAAGGATATTGAATTGTTGGAAAGGGTCACTAGAATGGTGCCTAGGATGGAGGAGTTGTCATATGAGGAGAGGTTCAAATCTCTCAAATTGTTTTTCTTGAAAAAAGAAGAGTTGGAGGGAATATGATTGAGGTGTTTAAGATTGTACAGGGAATTGATGGTGTTGATGCACCATCTTCTTTGATACTCAACAGTGAGAATAGTGGGACTAGGGGACACAAATATAACTTTTGGCAGGGTAGGAGTCATCTTCAGCTAAGACGGTTTTATTTTTCTAAGAGGATAGTTCGCTTTTGGAATGGGTTGCTTTTGGATGTTTTGGAGGCAGTAAATTTAAGTGAGTTTAAGAGAAAGATTTATAAATATATGAATGATAAGGGCTGACTTTAATATTTTTTTATAATAGTTTTAATTCAGTGTAGAGGATGGGACAGGCTAGATAGATCAATGGTTCCCTTTTGTTCCAAAAATTATGTTATGTTATTTTTGAAAGCTGCTAATTCAACCAAATTGTGAAATTTTATTACCAATGTGTGTGAGCATGAGAATAAGCTCAGATATGTGAATGTTGCTCTGTCACAACTTATTTTTTCTTTAAGGAACTGGGATGGTTTAGAAAACAGATTAGTTTAATATTTGAATCTCTTCTCAAAAAATTTAGAAAATATTTGTATAATTACTTGTCATTTAATTAATCATTTTAATGATTCCCAATATAATTGTATAAACCAAGAGTTTTGATCTTACAAGCATGGACTTTTTTTAGGGCCTTTGCTTCTGTAGGTGAGGGTATCAAATATTTATCAAGCTTTCCCTTAAACTCCCATAACTGCACCTACCATATCTAAAGGCAACCCGTTCCAAAGGCCAACCACCCTGTTAGAAAATTAAAGCTGTCTTAGCTGAAGATGATACCTACTCTGCCAAAATTTATATTTTGTCCCCTAGTCTTACTATTCTCACCATTAAATATAAGAATCATACTTATTATCTTGGAATTATAACCTCTTTAAACTTGTATTCAGTATTTTTGTAGATACAACCTAAAATCCTATTTTATGTACCACTATCAATAGCATATTCCTTGGATGGCTCAAGAGACTGATAAACCAGAACATTAAGATCTTTTTATTCCATAACAGAAATTCTATGGTGCCTCAAAAAGGATAAATTTAGTAATTTCAGTGCTTATAGGATGGAAAAGTTAAATGAATAGAAAATTCAAATAGTGGTAGAAACCAAAGAGCTATGATAACTGGCATTTTCTGTCTTCAAAAAGGTGACTAGTGAAATTCCACAAACAAACTTTAATGTTTATTAATGGCTTGATTTTATAGAAGCACATATACACATTTTATTTAAAGAAATTATGGGTTATGATTTGGGCTTGTACAGGGAGTCAAATGTGGCATATTATGATGGAAGGCCATTGATTGTTAATGTTAATCCTTTTATTAGTGGCCAGCTGTCAAGGCAAGCCAAATTTGTTCCCCTGTATACTGGCTTAATTATATAACTCAAAAGTTATATAAAAAAAATTTCAGATATTTGCATAAATCTTCATAAGGACTATCTGTATTAACTGTCCCTTACTTTGAAATAGTTGACTAAAGGGAAGGCAACTAATAAACAGCACCTACAACCAACTCCTAGGGTACTATTAAGTTAATAGTGAATTTGACATCAGTCTTTTAATGCACCCCTGGCTCCATAGTGCCAAGAACGAGTTTGTGGCAACAAGACATGACAAATCTGGTGTGACAACTGCTAGGTCATGTCTTTCTCTAAACAAAATGCACACACACATGTAAGTCTACAAATTTCTCATAATATTACATATAAATTTTTCTGAATAAAATTAGCAGCATAACAACTGAAATCAACAGTGATTTTAAGCTAGTTGATTGTACATAATATTAAAGAAGGTCAAAGTTTAATATGTCCATTTCAAAAAACTTAAAAAACAAAATAAATTTATGTTGGGCCAAGGAGTTTTTTGTTTCCCTTAATGTTATGTTCTGAGACATTGGTGTACTTTACATTGTAGACTGATGCTTATCTTAGGTATACACACATTTAATAGATAACAGCTGTGCAGAGGAAATTAATGTGTATATTATTTTTGTTTTTTATGTGGCATCTTTTCAAATGCTTTTTGAAAATCCAGATACACAAAATTTACATCCTTATCCTTATTTACATAAGCAGTAACCTCTTCAAAGATTGTCAAGAGATCACTAAGGTAAGATTTTTCCCTAGTGGAACCAACAAAATTTTAAACTTTTATGAAATGGCTGTGCAAATCATCTTTTTTTCAGTCTTTCAAAAACTATTTCCACTACTAATCTATAATTACTGGGACAACTTTTATCACTACCTTTGAAAAGACAAGTAACATTTGCCAACTTTCAATCTTCTTGCACCTGTCTGCTATTTAGTGATTTACAAAAATAGTAGCAAATAGCTCACATATCTACATTCTTAACCTCTTTCAAAATTCTCGGGTATATTTTTTCTGACTAAGGAACCTCATCATTCTTTTAACTTCTCAATTTTTACTTAACACACTCACACTTAATGTGACCTAGTTTGATTTTGTTTCCATCTAGCAATTGTTCAGGATGATAAATATTGCATAAATCTTCAATTGTATAAATTAAAGAAAAAGTAGAATATAATAAGCCAGTCATCTTATAATAATCAGAAGTATGCCTTCCTTTGTCATTCATCACGGTGATTAATCGAGGTTGTGTAAGTCTAAACGTTTATCTTTGTTATTCCATGTATAACTTTTTAAGTATGTTCTCTCACCAATCATACCGTGAAACTATCTTTAAACTACGTAACCTGAGTATAAAAAACATCAAAAAGAGAAACAATATTCCCTTCCT